TATTCACTGAATGCATATAAAATTTATTTTGATAAAGTTGTATTGGGTTCTGATTATTTTTTATGCAAAACTCAAGATGCTTAGTATCATATATAAATCTCTGTATGGCTTGAGGCCCCCTTACCTAAGGAATGGCTCTCTCCAAATTTTGTTTGTGGGAAACAGATTCCATAGAAAATATTGTTTTATAAGCCCATTTAGAATTAACTAGACCGTGGAGTTCTTGGTGCCGGTCCAACATTCTTGAATCCCCTCCCCAGTCAATTGTGTTTTTTATAATATTTTCAGAAGAATCTTAAGCATATCTTTGTTAATTATCTCCTTGCTAGGAATACTGCCTGTTTTGCTACCTAATTTTAACCACTACCTTCTTATATTTATCCATTTTAAAAAATTTAATTACATTGTAGTGCATAGTTGGTATAATTATATAATTTCAATCATGCCTGGTTTACTGAGCTTTGGGAGATGCAATAGCAAAAGACAAGCTTAAATTTGATAGAGGAAGATCAGAAATGAATTTACCAAACATGTGTCTGAGATAATTTTAAGCCTAAACTACAGAAATAAAGATGGTAAAGCATTTGTGCTTCTCCCTTTTGAAGAGTGAGAAAAAGCAATGAGGTTCTGTTCATTATTTGGGCAACATTTTGGCAAAAACAAAATATTCTGGACAGGAAGTGAAAAACAGGGCAGTATATCTGCCATATGAGAATTGGACCCATGATTCACCTTGTTCCCATGTAAAACCAGTAAATATGTGACTGGATGGATCAGCAAGATTATCAACACTTCACTGGGAAAGGAAATGTTGACTGCCACCTTGAAAAAAAATGGTTCCTTCTGAAGAGACATTCTGTAGATCCAGCCATAGTGGACAACTATCGTCCAATTATGGAGAAGGTTGTTGGTGATATTCCAACGACAGAATATTATAGGGAAAATGGGATTATCTGGATTCTTTTCGGTCAAGTTTTAGACTAGAGCATAGAACCCTGCATCGGGTTGCTGAGGCAGTAGAAGTCTTGACCTAATTCTTGTTAGTTGTCAGGGCCTGGATGGAAAGAAACAAGTTGCTACTGTTAGTATGCCAGTTTCAGCCTTTATGGAGAAATAGGCCTGACAACAGTGACTCATACTCTTGTCACCTCCTGTATGTATCACTTTAATTGACTCCACATGAAGACTGTCAGGAGCCACAGTTGGTTCAACATGTAACAGCCTGCCTGTCATTAGATAATAGCCATTACTTTTACCTGAACATTACATTGATGGTGAAGGTTCTGCAGTGGCTACCCATAGACTCTGGGGTACAATTCAAAATTATGATTCTAACATTAAAAGCTTGGCATCTCAGGTAATCATCTGCTTCAGATCAAACCTATTAGACTGGGCTACCTTTTCTGCACGGGGATCCTGAAAGCTCTCTCTCCTAACTTTAAGAGGTTCAGAAAAGGGGGCAAGTGTCAATGGTTCTTTGTGGCAGTCTCTATTCTCTTGAAAAGTCTCCCTCTATGGTGTTGTCCCTCCTGTAATTTAAAAAGGCAATGAAAGTGGAGCTCTTCCACAGCGTTTTAATGGTTATTGTGGAAGCCAAGTTATTACTAACCTGATGATTTTAAATTGCATTATAATATTTGCTTTGGATATTATTTTATTTTGATTGTCATTATGTTCTATTGCAAACTACTTCAGGCTGGCCTCATAGTTCAGAACATATGGTATATAAATGAAATACATAAATGTTTCCTTGCAAGATATGCGTTTACATTTTTCAGCATGGAAACAACTCATATAATTCATCTATCAAAACTCTGTTCTTTCTCTCTTTATTCTATCTGTTTCAAGAATTCTCATATTTCCCCTTATAAAAATTACATTATCTTCCCTCAGTTTCATTGTATACTAAATTCTTTATTGGGATCAGTTATAAAACCCTACAAATCATATTTATTTTCATTGCCTTATAACAGTCCACAACACCTGTAATTTTTCACAGCATTCTTAGTGTGTGTATACACACACACACACATTAGAGTATCTGGTAAGACTTTGCAATCCTTTGAAAAAGGTGTTTCAGGAAAATGTGGATGCATGTGCAAAGCACTCTTTTCACATTTTTTTTGCAGCCATATCTTTTCTCTGATTTGATGACTATTTTGGTAACTGCTCCTGGCTATCTCCACAACCAATCAAAGATTGCACTGAAGAAAAGTGGGGTATATAAACACCCATACACAGACAGGCAGAAGTATTTCCAAAGCAGTCTGCAAATACAGAAAAAAATAAAAATTTGAAAACATTCTTTGTAATTCACTTCCACAGATCTGTGAAATGATACACAGTAGGTATCCTTCTTTTCTGATCTACAGGAGAACAGTGAGTAGAACCAAATGAGGTACACCTCTCTCTCTCTCTCTCTCTCTTTCATTCCCCCCCCCAACACACAAATACAGGACAAATTTGCTTAAGAGCTTCTTCCATTCTTTGTATAAGCCCACATCCAAAAAAAGGTCAAAACAACTACTGTATCTAAGGCACATGATTTGAATCATAGCTCAAATACTTACAAATCAGGATTACTGATACTACTACTGAAAATCTGTAAAAAAGCAATTTATAAATGTTATTTCCACAAGCCTAAATTTAATGGAAAGGTTCCTGATTTCACAATTTATCAGCCATTTCAAGTTCAAGGGATAGGAGATGAAGCACTGATATAGTATTGGCTTTTACTATTTTGATATATCATTATTCAATATTAATATGAAAAATGAGAGCCACTTTGGGGTAATGGTTAAGGCATCAGGGTAGAAAATGAGTTATTGAGGTCCAGTCTCATCTTAGGCACAAAGATAGGCAGGTGCTGTTGGGCTAGTCACTTTCTTTTAAGCCCAAGGAAGGGGGCAATGGCAAATCACTTCAGAACAATTTTGCCAGGAAACTGCAAGGCAGTTATCCAGGCAGTCTCCTAGAATCCCTACATAGCCACAAGCAGACTAAATACACACACACACCGAATTCTATGGACCCTTATCTAACTCCAAGTAGGTATTAATTGTTGAAAGATTCCTGTGCACAGGCTGATAGCAATAAAACAGTTTAATTGGAGCTTCCCATATGTTTCTATCATCTGACAATCAAAGAGAGGATTTTTTAAAAAGTATAATTCATGCATTACAGCAAGAAAATAACTGAGTCTTTACTGAAACTATTTGACAAGCTAAAGTCCAGATTAGTTCAATGTTTCTTACAAACCATACAACTATAAACACTTTACTGATTATCTTCAATTTTTGAAAAAGTTTCTTAATCAACTTTCAAATGTGTAAGAATCAACTTATGTGCATATTATAAAAACCTTAATTAATTTAACAAGGCATTTCTCAGATAAACTTGAATATTATATATAGCTACAGCAAAGATATCTAAGAAAGTACTGGTGTACAGAACATCGGCCATATCGCTAAAAGGAAAAATCACACTGCATCTCACTTACTTTGGCCATGTCATGCAGGAGAATATACTGGAGAAAGCTATTATGTTTAGAAGAGTTAGCAATAAAAGAAAACTCAAGCTGTCGGAAAAGCACAGTGCTGGACACTCTTAAATCTGACACCAGGCAGAGCATAGAAAAACTCAAAAAAAGAATAGTGCAAGATTGGAAGATATGGAGAGACCTGGCCCATAAATGCCAACATTTTGATTCAACTGAATGGATAATATCATTGTCACTTAATAACCTACTCCTTTTAATTGATTGGATCAAAAGACCTAATGTTAAGAACCACAATTGTATTGTTATGACAGAACAGAAAGAGAAAAGTCTGTGATTTCTCACAGATGTTTTCCTACTCCAACTACAGGCAGTTTTAAGATCTTTAGCAGAAGACCATACCTGTCACTTTGAAAGGATATACTATATAACTGTATTCATATCATCATGCAACTGCTTGTTGCAACCGTAATGTTTAGTCTCAGTCTCCATCTGCCTCCTTACTACGGACTATTTCTTTGATTAAAAGACAACTGGAGCGACATGACCTGATTTTAAAGTCAAGCTGCCTACTAACCGCCACCCCCCATTAGCTCCCGTCACTGAAAAGAGAGGTCGAAACAACCAAGCCTTAAGATAAAACCGATCTTTCACATTAAACGCCACATATAGAGCCCCACAATGTTTGTTTGCTTGTTTTTTTTTTCTCACAACGCTGCTCTCTTTTAAACTGTCTGTAGCATCGCCAACAATCTCATTGGTTCGAGGCAAAGAAACTTCGGCGATTCATCTTGCTATTTATCCAGTTGCGGCGCGCGCACTGTATGGGAAAACACAGGAGTCGGAAGAAACTAAGTGGAAGATTAAAAGATGGGCCAGATCCTCTGCCACGCAAGGGTCAAGTTTCGGAGGGTTGGGGGTTGTTTTTTCGCTTTGTTTTTTTTTGGGGGGGGGGGGGGGGGTTTTTTTTTTTTTTGTTTTTGGGGGGGGGGGGGGAGGGCTTGTTTTTGTTTTGTTTCACTGCAGCATTTCCGCCCCTTTCTGTCCCCGCGTGTGGGGGGCGGGGCGGGGGGAAACAACCCGAAGAACATCTCGAAGGCTATTGGATATATCACTGCCCTGAAGGTTACCCTTCTCTCTCTTGTCTCCGAACAACCTTCGACTGCCGGGAGCCGCCGCCGCCGCCCCCCATCCCTCCATCTTCAAAAGAGCATCCCCACGATGCTTCAACGCCGCGACCACAACGGCAAGGCGAAGAACGGCCGTCGGCCGCCAGTCCCGTCCCCCCCCCCTCCCGCCGCCCCCCCAAAGCATCCTCCGTACTGCCCTTTTGCGCACCCGGGGCCGCGACAGGAACGGCCTCTCTCTTTCTCTCTTTCGCCCCCTGAGGCGTCGGTGCCGCGGAACGTCAACAAGGTTCTCTCTGCCGACAAAAAGCCCCTCTGTCGGCGACCCCCGCCTCCCCCGCCGCCCTGTTCCGCTGGGCCGGAGAGAGAGCTCTCACCTGGAACGCGAGTGGCGCCCCTGCCTCGTCAGCCTGCGAGAGCGGCCGGCTCGGAGAAACTCTTTTTTTTTTTTTTCTGGAGAGCCTCCAGGCGAAAGAAAGGAAGGAGGAAGAAGAAGAAGAAGGTGGTGGAGGAGGAGGAGAATGTTATTACCGCGGCCCCCTCCGGCTCAGCCCAGCACAGCTCAGCAGCAGACTCTGGCCCATGGCTTGCAAGCAGGCGGCAGTGGCGCCTCAGTCGTCGTCGCCGTCTCTATGGTAACTGCGGGACCGGACCGGACTAGGGTAGGCTTAGAAGGAGCCTGAAGGAGCGCGAGCCGACGGGCGGGGTAACAAACGGAGAGGGGAGAGCAGGAGGAGGCAGGCAGGCAGGCAATCAGAGGCACTCGCTGGACGGCCGTTGTCTCTCTTTCTCTCCCTCTCTCTCCCCCTGCAGGGTTAACCGCTTCACTGCCGCCGCCGCCGCCGCCACCCCTTGTCGGCTCAGTCGCCTGCAGTCTCCCGCGGGACGCGACTGCTCTCACTACCGTCGCAACTAGCCCCCTCCTTTTCCCTTGCCCTCCATCCTAGCGCTAGGCAGCTAAGCGATCCCTCGAGAGAATCCACCCACCGTGTCGACACTGCGAAACGTTATTGGAGCGTTTACCAAAAGCCGGTAGCAGATTGGACGGGAGCTCTTTCAATCAGTCTGGCGGGCGGCCGTATCTTGGAGACGCCGCTGTCCTCATATTTGCTTATGAGGCGAATTTTGCGAGTGGTTTTTTTTTATTTTTTGAAAAGAATTCTGGGTATTGTAGTTTAGTGTGCGTTATCGGAAAGGGATTCCCGAAGGATGGAATGCGGAGTTAAGATCTGCTTGTGGGGTGCGGAGATCAGAAGTAACGGTGACTTCCAACTAGGGACACAATCCTAAACTGGACAAACACACCGACGGCAGTGTTTTATCTTGCTGTAGCGGAACTATTGACTACTTTCTTCCTAATACTCTGGTGCTGAAAGAAAACTGCTTTAAATTGAGTTTTTTGTGAACCGCTCTGGGCACCTCCGTTGCAGTGTAGGGTCCCCTGTAAAATTTCTAATCTATGGAAAAATACATTTTTATTAATATGGCATAAAATTGTTTATTGCTGCCATATCACATCATTGATTCACATTCAGTTTTAATCAATAATTTTTTTGCTACTACTAATTCACTACAAGCTATTTTTTCCTCATTTTATAGCAATGCATTTTATTTCTTTTTCCTACATGAACTTTGCATTTGTCTCTGTTACACATCACTGTTCATTTCACCTTACTTCTCTAACTTATCAAGGTAGCTTTGAATGTTATCTGTAGTATATGTCTCACCCAGTATTGTGCTGTCTGCATATTTCATAAGAATTTGTTCCATCTCTTACCACAGAGTGACCTGAAGTATGCAACGATTGCAAAAAATTATCCACAAAAAGAGGAATGTGTGTGGGGAAAAGGAAAGTCAAAGAGACACTTGATCTGGATGAAGAGCATGGCCAGATAGTGATAGACAATAAGAAAAATGCTTGTGAAATGCTTAATTCCTGCTTTGCATTTTTCTTTGTGCAAACAAAGTGTAGTCCAACCTGCCAAAAGTTGCATTTTTGGACCATGATGTTGGCAAAGACTACATAGATTATCATGGATACTAAGTACTTCAGTGGACCATTGAAAAAAAATCAGTCCAGTTTTTAACTCAAAACACAAATAACAAAGCTCAAATTACTGAATTTTACACAAGTATGCAAAGACCTAGCTTCTTTGAGAAGTTCATAATTGTGGGAAAGGTGGAAGGAAAAAGAAGAGGATAACCAGTGACAAGATTGATGGACTCAGTTACAGCAGCAATACATGCACTGTTGGAAGATCTGTTGGAAACTGATGATCTTGGAGAAAATCTATATATATGGTTGCTAAGAATTAATGTTAATTTGACGACACATAAACAAATCAAATCAAAAATAAGTTATCCAATATTACATGGTCACTTTTCCTCAATGTTCTAATTACTTTCATTTTGTTAACTAAAACTACCACCATACTGTATTTTCCTATCACTGGAACTGACTAATAACGATTTCCTGAATGCAGAAACAGATTTCAATGCCCATTGAGCCTCCTCTCACCCCTAAAGTAACCTATCTGTGTGTTTACCTGCTGTATTTTTATACTACTATGTTTGGCCTGAAGTCATCTTGAGTGTTGAACTCTAATATATTTAAGCATTTGTATATGTTAATTGGTAGCTCAAGCTGTTCATTGGCTGATGCAAGCAATCCCTTCACACTATAATCATGCTCACTTTCTTGAGTAGCTGTATTCTTCTTAAAAGGAAAGCTGATTCAGAAAATGAACACTACAGGTTTAAAATGCAGAGAGGATAATTTAATCACAATGGGCAAATTAGACATTGTGAAACTGCCTGCTTTATTAAAATAAAGATTCTATGAAAAGTCCTTTTACTCAGTATCAAGTCAAGCTGATTTAGTCATTCTTCACCCTCTGAAAGTTCTCTTACACCTTTTAAACAAGCTCTTGTGTTTCAATCACTGATGTAATTCCATCACATATCCCATTGGCAAATTCCCTTCCTGAAATAAGAGTTGAAGCTCAGATTTGTTTATTTGTTGTATTATGAGTCAATGCTCTTAGATTTTCCTTAATGGTTTAACATGTTCCATCACTGTATAGCTAAATATGTAATTCTAGAGTATACATGTATTCATCACAAGGCCATTATCTCAGAGGCTTTGTGCTTTGAGTATGTAAAAGCGGAGGGGAATCAAATCATGAGCAGGATTCTTCTACTATAGTAAGTAAAAAAACCCAGCAAACCAGATTATTGTATAGTTTAATTTGTGAACCCTGAGTGACTAGTGATACAAAATATGACAACTACTAAGCTAATATATTTAAGCATTAGGAAACTGATAGTCAATTGAAAGATGGTAGGTAGCAAAAAAAAACCCTCCAACTCATAATGTCCCAAGTTTTACCCGTTTGAAGAACTGGTATACAACACTATACCTTATCCCTGAATATTATGTGCTGTGGAGAATTGAAAATTTAAAATATGAATATTTTTTTAATTGTTTTGCTGTATATCAGAATTTATCTATTTAGATCAAAAGTACAGTTAAATTTTAAAAGATTAAATTATATGTTAGATGATCATATTTAATGTTAATATAAGGAACCAGATGAGGCTCATTATAATGTGTGCACCCATGTGAAATATGTAAAAACCAGGAGATGCTGTGGTGTGTATATTTATTTACTCTAGTATGTATATTAATTTGAACATAAGAAGTAGTGGCATTCAGCATCAGCTGATAGGCATCAATGTATTTTCTTCATACCATTTGAAAGTGCAGGATCTATATAACAGTTCTGATTATTTTTCACTGGCAGAATTCTAATGCATTTTACCTAAAAGCATTGCTGAATAACAGAAAGCCTCAGGGGAATTATTTGTTATTGCTTCATGCTTCCTATCACAACTATATCTTCTGCTCTGGCTTTGGAAAACTGTTATTAAGACATATCACTTCGCTAGTAGAGCTAGACATCAGAACAAAGAATAAGGACTGGATGTCAAATCATAAACTGTCGTTACTCTGAAAGAAAGCACCATTTTGAAGTATTATTCTATTTATTTTCAAATATAAACTGATAGCATATTGACTCAAAGACTTTTGCATATCAATAAAATGTTAACACTTTTATTCTGTTTAATGCATATTGCAACAATTATGGATTTATGTATACCTTTTGCTATAAGATTTTGTTGAAAGACCCAATCAAGGGTAAAATAACAATCAATAGTATGAAATTCAGTACACTAATAATGTAGAATAGTGCAAAACATAGAGATTCGATTTAGTTTATTTGTGTTGAACTTAACATTAAAATTTTACAGTTAATATTTATGGAAATACCAATTTACATCTGTCTTAATTTGCTTGTGAAATTTCTACTGGATTCTGTACACAGCTGGTCCTCGACTTACAACCACAATTGACCCCCCAAAAATGATGTTAAGTGAGACATTTGTTAAGTGAGTTTTGTCCCATTTTATGACTTTTCTTGCCACAGTTGTTAAGTGAATCAGTGCACTTCGTAACCCGGTTGTTACAGTAAGTGAATCTGGTTCCCCCATTGACTTTGCTTGTGAGACGGTCACAAAAGGTGGCCTTGGGACACAGTAACCATCATAAATATGAACCAGTTGTTCAGCTTTAATTGATACTTCTCTTGCTGAAAGTCCAATAGGTTAACTCTGAGCCATTGACAAATACTTTCTCCTGACTACTTTCAGTGGATCTTTATGAAGTAAACTTGAATTCTGCCCATGTAGAGACTCTGTTAGTCACATCATATCCTCAAACATGGGTGCAGTCATGGGATGGGACAATACTGTACCTCTGAAACAAAAATGAATGGGGTCAAAAAACACATTTTCTCCAGAATAAAGCTCAGGTTTTTCTTAATTCACCTTCATTTTTTAAAAAATATATTTATCTAAGTTGCTATTTAAGTTGATCCATCAGTGGCACTGTTGTGAATGTCAGATACCATCCCAGATAGGCGCAGATATTCATGGGCCTAGTGTCCTGAAACACTGCTACTCTGAACTCAGACCACCTTCCAAATGCTCCGTACTCCCTGGGATGTATCAGGACCATGACCTGATATTGCTGCTGTTCACTTCGACCAATTTGCTAGCAAGCTTGCTTGCATGTATTTGTTGCCCTTGCTTAAATGTATAGTATATGCAACTGAACATGTGTTTGCTTTCAAAAGTGCTTTATCTTCATTTATTTGCAAAAAAAAAAAAAAGAGGAAGCAGGTATATTGAAAAATAATGCTGCAACCTATAAATCTCTTATTTCATGAAGTAAATGACTGAAAGCTAATTCCTTTGTGCATGCTTGTCCCAGAATAGTATCTTCACATACATCAAGGTTAGTAGGAGGATGTGCTAAATCTGTACTCATCTTCCAAAGTTCTCCTTTAGGTCGTCATTGGAAATTAGAGTGACATTTTTCAGGAAAAAATTTCCCAGTGGTGTCCTGCCTGTATATTGTTCCATTTGTGGAGTGATCAGAAACATTTTTGTTTGGACTACTAGGCAAAAATACTTTTTTAAACATGAGATTCAAAAAA